AGATGGAATGGAAAACAAAGTATACACCGCTGGAGGTTGGAAAACAATGGTAAAAAGATCACAAAAGACGTGTTTGTCATGATTTTAGAAACAACTTTAAACAAAATGAGTAATTGTCCAGATGTTGTTAAAAATGGTTTAACAACATGTGGTTTAATTCCTTTTTGTGCTGATAATATCAAGTTTTCGAAATATTTTAAGGACAAGGATAAGGCGGGCGGATCGCAAGACACTAGTGAACAACAGCGGGAAAGAGAGGATAAGCAGAAAGGTCAAGGTTCAGCTTTGGAGATATTAGAATAAGAAATTCCATCAGAAATTTTAGTATCGTTTAAACAATCTGGAGAGATATGGGAAGGAGCTATTGAACATACAAGCCTTTTTATGGTATGGAAAAATGTAAAGGTGCGTATTCATTATCCGCACGAACGAACGAACGAACGAATGTTCGCTAGTGGTATGGACGGGGACCGTACGATAGAACCGCACGAGAAGACCGGACCATAGACCGGACGCATTTCTTGGCGAACGCCTTTGATGTACCGACTCGAAACGGATGGTCGAGCGAACGAACGAACGAACGGCCGCATGCGTTCGGTCCCCGTCTAAATATACCGCACTTTCATTCGTTCGTTCGTTCGTTCGGATAATGAATACGCACCTTAATAGCGCGAACTGAATTCGATAATAGAAAAATTAATTTCAATGAGAAAAGTAATGTTATTGAGATTGAGAATGATTCAAACCTTGATCATTCAGATCTTATTAACACGTTGAATGGACAAAAGGAAAACCTCGACGACCTTGACATCACTGGACTGATAAATGTTGACAATTTGAGCCTACCAATAATTTTCGATTTTACCAATGATCTTCAACTTGAATCGCTACTACCTTTAATCGCGAACACTCGAAATTCACCTACTAAAAATTTAGAAGACATTGGTGATAAGGAAAGGGATCAAATAAACGAACTTTTGACCTCGAAGATTTCAAATGTGTCTATCGGAAACATAGAAGAAAACGATGATAATAAACGGGATCAAATATACCGGAACATTCCAAATGTGCCTTCCGAGAAAATGGAAAAAAAATGACGACGATGAACAAGAACAAACATACGGATCAATTGGCAGACATTCTCCCAGACATTCAACGCCTGTCAAATCCTTAATAATACCCCCGATGATGACCCCGGAACAAAATCAAACTGAAGCAAGACCACCGTTGATCGCTATGAATTTTTCACAAGATAAAAACAGTTCATGCATACCCACACCTATTAAAAAATCCCTCTTCTGGCCTGAGTCTAAAACCGAAAAAGAAACGCGAAAGCAAAGTGAGAAAATCTCTGCTGTGACGACATCTTTGCAGTGGCAGCAATATTTTGAAAAAAACAGAAGAAAAGAAAAGACAAGAAGAAGAACTAAAACTGAAAAGAAAATTAGATCGTGAAAAGAAATCTGTTGAGAATGAAAATAAAGTCAAGAATGATGTTTCTGTACGTAAGAGAAGTAATCAGAAAAAGGAAGCGAAAAGTATTAAAAAAAATACTCCTAAGAAAAACCCTGCCATCCCGCCACCATCAAAAACTACAGAGACATGGTACTGTTCTTTATGTGATACAGATCGACAAATTGCGATGGGTCTGTGTTCCGATTGCTATAAATATTACCACGAAGAGTGTATTGGATTAACGAAAGACGATAAAGATTTCTTTTGTCCAGCTTGTGACACTTCCTAATTTAAATTATTGTTTTTAATTTTTCCAAAGAGTTTACTTTTAGTTTCGTTTTTTTTAATTACTTAGTTTTTAAGATTTCTTAATTAAGTAAGTAACTAAATTAAATAAGTACCTACCTAAGTAATTTTGCCGGTACCAAAAAAAGTATTCTTAGGTTTTTACGAATGTTTTTTTGTTGAATTATTTTTAAATATTTATCTTCTTAATAAATTCCTACCAGGTTTATTTGATTTTATGTAAAAAGTACATCTCCTAATGCGCTGCCGATAATAGGTTACTCCAGATGCTAGAACTAGACTAGAACAGTTGCATTTTTTTGAGTGCTACATGGGGATATTTTGTATTTTTTTAAAAGAAATACTTAGAGGTAAATTTTTTAGACATTTTACTCTTTTTATACTTTTCTCTAGTATCTAATGTGACTAGAACTATAGAAAAAATCGCATTGGTAATCATTTTGAGTTTTCTATAGTATATTCCTGTCACATCAAGATTCGACAACGTCCTTAGGATGCCGATAATTGGTACGTTTACCTTAAGTCACATCAAATGCGACGCCATTGCGATTCTGGTTCTTAACACGTTCGTACGAGTGTGCTGCAATATTATTAGAAAAAAATGGTTGAAAGTGATGTGTCTGTGTCTGGTAAGTTATTAAATAATTTAAAATTGTGTTTAGACCTTAATACATGATAAATTTTAGACCCTTACTCGACAGGTGAGGATGAAGTATGGCTTCCTTCTGATAGTGAGGTTGGATGGCCTAGAAATAATGCAACAGGTAGGTGCATGTGTAATGTTGGTAATTAGGTTTACTTCTTTTAGTTTTTTATCGTTTATTGGGTATACTAAAAAGCATAAAGTATGTATTATATCATACACTAGCACAAAATAATAATTTCAGGTCCGAATTCGCCGGAATTTACCGAATATCCTAAAAAAACAGTTTACAAACCCCACCACTTCGGCTGAAGATCCTAAGACCATACCTGTCAGCAGTTTAGGTAAAATTAAATCAAGAATATTATGTTTTACTTAAAATTTTGACTTATTATGTTTTTAACAGTGACAGTAGCGGATAACAATGAAAATTTTATGGAGGAAGAAGCGACGGCTGCGACGGGCTCTGAGAAAAGAAATGGACAAGAAGAAATGTTCAAGCCTAATAAAAGAAGATCTAATCCACAAGAATGGAAAAGGGAAAAAAAGAAAAAAGAATTAAGACAATCTCGAGACCAGGTGAATATGCCGGAATGTCGCTATAAGTGCAAGAAAGAAATGAGTATTTATGTAGGTATACAAGAAAATAAATGCAGATTTTAAAAACTTAAGTAGTCATACGCAAGAAAACCTGTATATAAAAGGATGCATAAGCTCCAAACTTGCTGCTCGTCATTTAAATAAAAATAAACCTCCGAAAAATGTATTCCAGTATAGCGTTAAGAGGCCTACAGACGCTAGAACATGTATTAATACATAATAAAATAAAAATAAACGCACGTCGATGTACGCGCGGTGATGTTCGCCAGTGTGTAGACAATTTTTTGATTTGATAAAAAGACCGACGCACACGTTTTCTGTTTCTGCTTGAATTGAAGCTTGTACAGACTTGTACGCGCGTACATGAATGCCTGTGTGTAGACAAAAGTTTTCTCATATTGAAAGACTTTCGTTGATCAGTGTCGTCGGCTCTATATTCTTTATTGGATCATTGTTTCTTGTGAACATGGCTGATTTGAGAAGTTTTACGAAAGAATTCATCACAGAGTTCATTGAGTTGTACAAATCTTACCCCTGCTTGTGGAAAATAACATCGAAAAAGTATATGGACAGAAACAAAAAAAAATGAAGCTTACAAAGTGTTAACGCTGAAACTTCACCAAGTTGAGAAAGATGCCACCAAAGAAATGGTTAAAACCAAAATTAACAGCCTTCGTTTCCGAAGAGAGACAAAAAAATGAAAGAATCGAGAAGATCAGGTGCTGGAGCAGAAGGCATTTATGTTCCACATTTATGGTATTATGATCTTCTTCTTTTTGTGAAAGACCAAGAGTCCCCCAGACAGTCTGTTAGCAACATTGAAGATAATGGAAACGTGAGCAAAAATGAGAGTCGCCATTCAACCGTGGAAAGTGAAGAGGACCTAGAATTGGAGGTAAGATATCTTTTAATCATGGTTTCTAGCAAAAATCGAAAATCAAGTGTCCGGATACTTCCCGGATTTTCAGGGTTTTTTTTAATTTTCCCGGTTGGGTTTTCGAAAATTAGTTATACAATTTTAAAGTATTTCTTTGAACAAACAAGTGATATTGTAAACACGCCTTTTATTCAACTAATTAAAAACAATTTAAACGCCTAATAATAGTAAAAATATCACCAGTTCACCAAAAAGATTCGTCCCCCGCCGACGCCGATAGATAGCTTCTCCCGCCCGCCAGCTGACTGCTCTCCCACCATCGCCTCCTGCGCCGATCGTTCCGGAGCTTGCAGCGTTGCCGATGCTACTTCGCCGTGCCCGTCGCCACGTTGCCATTTTCCTTCGCCTCGGAAAAATCACTGGTTACAATATTTATTATTTTTAATATTTTTCATAGAAGGTGGCCTTCGAGATACTGCTATTACAAACTCTCTAATATACATGGTGTGCAAGGATAATGTTCCTCATTCAGTAGTTGAAAAAGAGGGCTTCAGGCAGTTTATGAAAACACAGTGGCACCAATGTACAAATTACCTTCACGAAACACAGCAAGTAGTTTTGTGTAACATAACTTTAATTATTGTAATTATATTATTATATGTATTATTATATGTATTATTTATATTTTCTAGGTCACGAAAATGGTTACTGTGAGATATTCATTAATCATTTCTAAAATAAAAAAACAACTGCTTAATATGAAAACGATTAGTTTAACATCTGATATTTGCACCTTAACTAATACCAGCAGAGGTTTTTTGGTCCTCACCGCGCATTTTATATGTAAGTAAAAGGCTTGTTAGTATGTAAAAATGTTAAATAAAAATTATTTAATTTTTCAGGTCCAGAAAAAAACAAACTTGAAACTGTTATGTTAGGTGTACGACGGCTATTAGAAGCGCTGGAGACTACATGGCACAGACAATGGAGGAAGTAATGGACTCATTTGGTATTTTCGAATCTCAAATAGTCTCTGTCTGTATAGATGGTGGGGCGAATATGATTTCTGCAGTCCGAAAGCTATTAGGGGAGGGAAAAAATGTATATTGTTTTGCCCACATGTTAAATTTAATTGTCACAGATGGTCTAGAAGACAAAAATAATAGGCTATTAAGTGACTTAATTGACCTAGTCAAGAGTTTTGTCACTTTTGGTAGACGCAGTAATAATTTTATGGATGCCTTGCGAGCTGAACAGCAGAAGGATAATGTACCAGAAGGCGGCGTTGCACTATTCATTCAGTCAGTTCCAACACGGTGGAATTCTACATTTGACATGTTAAGTAGATTCATCAATTTATACCCATATGTAGCAAGAGTCCTTGCCAATCCAAATTTAAAGCTAAAAAATGCTCCTCGAATGTTGTCAGGCGACGAAATCGATTTACTCTCAGAAATTGTTGAAATTTTAAAGCCATTTAAACAAGCAACCACAGAAATATCTGGTAGCGACTACTTAACTGGGAGTTTGGTCTTACCAATGATAAGCTGCATTGAGTCAGCATTGAGTACTATTAAACCTACTAGCGAAATGTCGAAAATATTATTAAAAAAGTTGGAAGATTCTTTAGGAATTCGTTGTGCACCCACCCAGACAAACCCGCTTTTGTGCAATGCGGTACTTTGTGACCCCAGATTTAAAAGGCTTTATATGAAACCTGTTGTGGCAAGTCAGGCAGTCATGCAAATTAAAGAAGAAATCAAAAAGGAGCAGAAAGAATTAGGGAATTGCTCTCCGCCTACACCAAGTTCATCTCCAAGAAGACAGGAAGACCCTATGTCATTATGGAGCATGCACGACAAATCGCTTGAAAAATCTGGAATGGCATCTACAGAGGTTGAAAGTTACTTTCCTAGCGAACTAAAGTTATATCTGCAACAACCAGTATTGCACAGGATGCAGGATCCAATCCAGTTTTGGCACCAGAGTAAAACGCTGATGACAGCATTATCATCTATTGCAATGAAATATTTAACCGTCGTGGGAAGCTCGGTTGCCTCCGAAAGATTGGTTTCGACATTAAATTCCATCGTCAAAGACGACAGAAGCCGCCTAACTGACAGACATGTGACAGAGAGGGTGTTTATGTACCGGTGTTCCAAATCGTTTTGGGTAGACTAATATAATAACATTTTTTGTTTATGTTTATTGTTTATGTAACCTTTACGAAAATATAAATAAATATAATAATAAAGAACTTTATTTATACTGCGAATTTACAGAAAAATCCAAATCTTAAAACAATACATATAATATAATATAAACCAAAAATAAATTAACTAACACTAACTAACCCTAAACAAACATTATTACTAACTAACGTGTAGTATTTAATACAAATATTTAATAATTTTATTTCTAGTATTGAAAAAATGTATAAAAATTATCTATATTATCTAATCTTAATCTATTTACAATTTCAAGGCATCTGTTTAGTGGTGATTGTATATTAGAAACTTTAAATACATTTGATCTCACTCTAAGTCTAATATCGGGAACATTTAAACAAATTATATTCAGTATCTCTGGCGTATTTATATTGCTGTGTACCTATATTGTAGACAAACAATACATCATTAGACATTCCACATTTTTCTAAACTGACATGAAATTACTCTGGTATTATTTAGAAAAATATCCGGTTAACCGGAATAGCCGGCGTTTTATACCAGTTTTAACCGAGCAGTTAATAGAGGTGGTAAAATAACCGGTTAACCGAAAAACCGGTATTTTTAAATAAATTGACATCCCTAAATATGATTCCGTTCGACAATAAATAAAGCCCAAAGATAGGCAACCAAACATGTCTCACCTGTGTAATTTGCCTGAAATTTTATCTAGTGTATTACGGGCTGGAAGCATCGGCAAAACTTGGTTCCTATGTGTTTTTTCGGACGTAACAAAACCTCACCTTTGTCTTTCGCATAGTCTTTCGTGTTTTTACTGTTTTTCGGTATAGTAATAGCGAAGTTTTTAAAGAGTCATACAAATTATTTTGTTTAATAGTGACTATTCCCTCCACCAGCGTTTCCGTTGAATGAAGTTTTTCATGTTTAAATAGAATTAAAACCTATTTGCTACATACAATCACTGAAGAAACACTTAATAACTTTTTTTCAGTCTTTTCAGACCACAATTTCAATTGAAAAAAAGAACTTTTAAAAGACTTACTGAAATTAATTAAATCCTTCTATGAAGATATAATCGACCGGTTTGCAAGTTTAAAATCCCGAAGAATCGACCTGTTATATAAGAAATAGAAAGTTTGTTTTGAGTAAGTACATTTTTAAATTACAAAATACCTTTGTATTCTGGATTATTTTATTACTGTAGGCAGCAGAAAATAGTGCATCACAGTAAGAACAAAAAATAGGATTAGACGCGTGATTAGTATACATTTTTTGTTACACCAGATCCGAATCATTTCTTTTTTAAAATCATTCAAATTTTGTGCTGTTTGGTCCCCATTAAGATCAAAAAAATAAAGTTTTTTTGTCCTCTTAGATGCATATAACTTTTTAGGATTTTTTTAACGAAAGTGACAGGGGGGGGCATTTTTTTCTATTATTGCTTCCCTACTTTTTTTTGCCACGAGCCGCCACTGATAAAAATAAATAGCAAACCAAAACATGAGATTTTGCTACAGGTGTTCGACATGGTCGACATGTCTTCTGTTATGGACAGACGGGACCGTTTTTGAACATTTCTCGCGAAATTTATTAACTCAGTGGGATAAAAGATATCCTCTCAGAACCGCTAAGTATTTCTAATTCTTGTCTAGATTATACGGGTAATCTAAAAATAAGAACCCTTATTCTTCCGCAAAGATAAAAAATCATAGGCACTAAGTCCGGCGGCCTCGGCGGCCAACGGCTGCAATTTTGGTTAGCTAATTATATCCAAGTAGCTGGGTACGTCACCCGCCTTTGATGTCACTGCTACCTCAGCAGTAGAAGCTTATAAATATAAGTTACATTTATATTTTCTCATCTTTTTGTTAGTACTGTTCAACCAAACATATTAATAAACTGATCAAGTCTCTGTGTTGTTTTTTAAAAAGTAATTGTCCCGGTCACGAAAGAAAACTGGCGCAGTCGGTAGGATTTGCCAAGCCATCTAACAAAAATCGTAGTTGGTGCCCGTTACGCGGATTAAATTGGTAAAAACCCAAAAAACGGACGGATCGAGACAGTGAAAAGTAAGAAACAGCCCAAAGACACCGTTGGAACAGAGGACAAGCATCGCCGAAAGTCCAACACCTGGTAGAGGACAAGCATCGCCATAACCAGCTTAGAATAAGGACCTGGTCGAGGACAAACATAGCCAACACCAGTTAGGTTAAGAAGAAACGAAAAAAGAAGCAACGAAAAACGAAAACCACCCGAAAAACGAAACCATCACCCGAAAAACGAAACCATCACCCGAAAAACGAAATCATCAACGAAAATCATCCCCGAAAACATCGCACTCAATGAACATCGTAGCTGTACATCTCTCTACTGCTGTACATCTCACCCTGTACATCTCTCTACTGCTAAGTGTCGTATTTTTTCTATTCTGTTTATTAGTATCGTATTTTGCATTTACTTTTATTTTTATTTTTAAAACTATTTTCGTATTTTGCTTTTTTTCCATATATATCGATTTTCCATTTTATTTTTATTTTTTAATTTTTATTCGTGTTTTACGAACCGATTTGATTAAGTTTATTTTATGTCCGATTCAGATAGTGAAATCGAGGAAATAACTAATAAATTTAGGCTTCAAAATTTAAGTTCTAGACATTTTGAAAAAGATAATTTCGAACAAAGTCTCAGATATAGAACTATTTCTGATTCAATTATTAACTCTGAACTAGAAAATATTTTAGATCAAGTAATGGCTACTTCAAATCAATCTCAAAATCCATCTGTTCGGATTTTATGATTTCTGTAATATGAATCGCCTCGGGATTCAAGAGGTTTCGAAGAGAGGGCGCTACCGTAGTCGGTCGACAAGGGTCGATTTCGCTTGCGACGCTTGAAAAGGAAGATGGCTGCGAACCTCAGCAAGAAGACATTTTTTTCAGTAAAAGTAAAAAAATAAAAAAAAAAAAAAAAAAAAAAGTAAAAATAAAGAATTATCTATGGTCCTTCGAGCTATAATTTTAAGGTGACCCCAACCGCAACATTTTGGTCCGCTAACGGAGCCCCGGATAAGTGCCATTTTGAGATGCCCATTTTAATAAAAACTGGAATATTTGCCGGCTAGAAAACGAGTACCTTTTTGTCACGAACTGGAAGAACATCCATGGTGGCCGGCTAGCAACAAAACGCAAGAAGTGAGTCTGTCCCTATCTATTTCCTTATTTTCCATAACAGTCGCGCCCCCTAGCGACCGTTTACAAACTTGAAAATAAAATAAAAAAAAAATAATTCAGTAGTTTTTCAAGTTTAATAAAGGAATAAAGACAAAGTTAATACTAGTTATACAGATCGGTAATAGACGTATAGATTTGTCATAAAATAATTGATCAACGGTTATTTTTCTTAAGAGTTTTAATACGGGAGATTTTATTAAGAGTCCCACTACTACGGGATATTCTCTTAAGGGTATCACTACTACGAGATATTCTCTTAAGAGGTCTCACTACTACCGGAGATATTTTAGTCAGGCGATTCATATACATAGTTTAACAAAGATCATGATTGGCTATATTTAAGTTTAAGGGTATTCTTTTACAGAGTTTAAGAGTAAGACCAGAACAGAAGATGAATGCGTTTAGGTAACCTTAACGATTTATTTTAGTGTAAATTGAAAAACAAAGTGATAATAAGATAACATTTGGCTATACAATTTAGTAAAGAAAGAATATCACTGAACAGAAGAAGAAGCTATAGAATTGTGTTAAAGTATGTATAATTTAATATTGCAATATGGTTAAGATTTTGAAATGCTGAAGCAATAGATCTCAGAAGGTTAAGAACTAGCCGAGGTCAGTTGAGAGGCATAGCCACTCGGTTTCAAAGTTTTATGTCTAACATGCAGGATGTTCTAGAAGTAAAAACTAGGTTGGAAAAAGTAGAGTCCGCGTTTGTAGAGTTCGATCAAGTTCAGTCCGAATTAGAGCTATTAGATGAAGAAGAAACAGAAGTTAGAGAAGAAATAGAAAATGTATTTTACCAAAGCTATTTCTACCAGGTAAAAATGCATGCAGTTGATGCTAAATATTAATTCACAAAATTACATATACACCTCAAAATCCAGTAAGTAACATAAAGCTACATCCCTATAAATTTTTCATTTTTTTTTTTTTTTTTTTTTTTGTTTATTTTGGATTTATATATTTATATCATACTTTTAAGAATAGATAATAATGGATGTATCATTAGATGCGAGTTTCGAAAAATAGGCAATTAAATCTGATAATCTTGTCTTCCGGGAGAAGACGTCAGCTCAGAGTTAATAAGTTCTTTTAGTATGTAAACTAGATAGCAATTAGTTAACCTAGCTTGGAATTGTTACAAGAACTCTACACAGAATCAAAAGATTATTAATTCATAATTACATTAAAACTTTATTTGAAATATCTCCAGTTCAGAAAGAATCTTGTAAAGATTAGAGAAATTTATTAGACGACGTTGAATAAATATTAGAGCCTTACATTCACTAGGACAACCTACAGATCAATGGGATACACTCTTAATTTATTTATTAACATCTAAACTCGATTATAACACAAGAAAAAGAGTGGGAAAGTTCATTAAAGAGTAACAATTTGCCTACTATGGTCAACTTAACGGATTTTCTAAAGCAAAGATGTATGATATTAGAAACAATAAATGTAAACAAAACAAGATCAGATATATCTATTTCATACAGAAAAGGCCATGATAATAAGAGTCATTCTTTTGCTACAACTCAAAACTCCAGTTTTTCATGCTATTATTGTAATCAACCTCATCCTATTTATAGATGTCAATCATTTTTTAAACTTAATTTTTTTTTTTTTTTTATAAAGAAATTAAAAATTAAAAATTATGTCAAACTGTTTAAAACGCAAAATCACGCTACAGATCAGTGTCAATCTCTTAGAACATGTTTTAAATGTAACCTAAAACATCATACGTTATTACATGACT